GAAGTCTTAGGCACAAAAATTAAATCCCATTCAGCTCTCAGTGGTTTATTCCCAAATCAGGATGTATAGATTACACTTTTAAAATTACCATGGACCCAGTTTAAGTGAGAACTAATTTGTCACCAGATCCTAACAAGCTCCTGCTTTTGTATATGCGTAGAAGAGTTCATCCTTCTGTAGTATATATGAGCAAACTAAAAGATTACTTCTCCTGATCCATACATTCTTTGCAGATGGACCATGGACTCCACTGAAAAGCAGCAGATCAGAATCAACATCCATTGTGAACAGTTGGGAGTCCATGTTTCTTAAACTGAAATGTGATGAGCATGATAGAATTTAGACTGAATGTTCTCTTTATCTCCCTCCTCTGTCCTAATCCAAAAAGTAGCAACCATTACAGATTCACATACTTTCTGTGAATTCACCCTACAAAACTGCATTATTTATTGTTGCAGCCAGTATCTGAGTATTTTATTTAAACTAGAAGAGGTTTATATGCTGTTTATATATTTATTTATTTCTGTAAATTGACATTGTTATATCTATTTTACTGTACCTTGTGTATTCTGTTGCACTACTGCATGCTTTTGTAAGCCACCCAAGTCGCTTTTGGGAGATGGTGGTGGGATATAAATACAGAATAATAATAATAATAATAATACATTGTTTATATTTTAAATTTTATAATAAAATAAATATATAATTCCTATTATACTGACACAAAAACACAGTATGACACAGCAAATGAGATACGTATGCTGGATTTCATATCACAAAATCACAAGTCGAATACTTCCCAAGTGTTTAGGACTGTGTGATGCATCATCATCATCATCATCATCATCAGAAACACAACAAGATGAGTCCACAGCAAACAAGATCATTCCGCTGGCTGTTGTATTGGATCACACATCGGACACTTCCCAAGTGTCTAGGACTATGTGATGTATCGGCAAATAATGCATGCAGATCCCAGTAGGGTGGCCTTTTGCAGCTGGCTGAAGGTAATCTTGTCAGCGCCAATTGTGTTTAAGTGCAGGCCAAGGTCTTTAGGCACTGCACCCAGTGTCCCAATCACCACTAAGACCACCTTTAATGGTTTATGACAGTCTTTGCAGTTCAATCTTTAAATCCTCATATCATGTCAGCTTTTCCAGTTGTTTCTCTTCAATCCTGCTCTCGCCTGGGATTGCAACATTATTATTATTATTATTATTATTATTATTATTATTATTAATCTTTGTGCTCACTGTAGATCGGTCTTTCTCAGCTAAGTCATCAGTATTTTTAGTATGTGTGCTTTTAAAAAATCCTTGGCAATCACCTCTTTCTCCTCAAAACAATTTTCAAACTTATTCAGAATAGGACAGACCAAATCAAAGTATTTATGATATTTTATGTACCATGAACCAAACCATAGTTACAATGAATGTAGTCTCACATTAATTTACATAATCTTAGAACTACAAAACCTATTATGCAGTGTCACTGAGAATGAGCCAAGAATAGACAAAATCATCTAAGGTCTTTAAAAGAAAGCAAGACATGGACAGGGCTGGAGAATTAGTAGTGAAAAGACAACCCAATGTAATTTAATATGCCAGATGGACATCCTATGGAAATCTGATGCTGATGAGCTGAAAGTGGAACTAAATGTGGAATTCTTCTTGGGAATAACTAGAGCTTAGAAAAGTTACATATTTGGACTACCCACGTTACAAGAAATTTACCATGTCCAAATTTTGCTCAAGCATTCAAAAATAATTGTATTTCTGTCTCAATTCTTTCTAGATTATTTCAGCCAGATCCCATCTTTCTGTAAACTAGTATAGATGGCAACATTTGTTTCCATTTTTTTGCGTTTGCTTCACATTATTTTCACTCTACTTGTAATTTCTCAAGTAGCTCCTGACATGAAAAAAACTCTACTTTTTTGAAATCAATAAGACTAGAAAATAATATTAAACTTTTACAGATATAGACTAAACATGACTACAATTACAGAACTCCATAGCATTTTATTATAGTAGTTAGCTATTCTTCTCCAGCCTCATAGTCTCCAAGCATGTTGTGCTCTAAGTCCTACCATTAAATATACACCAGGGATGGCCATGAGGATGATGGGAGTAGTAGTCCAGCACTTCTGAAGATCCCAGGTTGGTAAATGCCTTACTATGTTCTTATTCTCATAGTAATTTTAGAAACTCTGGAAGGAAGTTTTCAAAGTATTTATTTCTATACACATGGTCCCAAGATGAAACAACAGTTATAATAGTATAGCAGCAGCAACAGCAATAGACTTTACAATCAAATTCACAAATACAGACAGTGTATTAGATTTTAATGGAAAGTATACTAAAAGAAAAGAAAATTCCAGTTTTTCAAGATCAATCCATTTGAATGGGAGAAATTAGTGCTGGAGTCTCTCATTAAAATCAATGGGACTTCATTAGCAAAGAATTTTGGCCAAAACATGGTGTATATATTTACTTAAATTCTCATATACCAGTTTACAATTTCCTAGTTTCCTGGAATTCACTCTGGGTCCCCTCAGGGAGATAGGGTGGAATACAAATAAAGTTTTGTTGTTGTTGTTGTTTTTCTCACACCTCTAGGTATACTAATAAACTTATAATAGCATAGGCATACTACCAAATAACAGAAAAATATACTGCTTTAATAACTCATTTCATAGCACCCCTCAAAATATGAAGAGCTCGTTGGTAATAATAACCATAATAAAGATACTACTACTAATGGTAACACTTTCTTTCTCAATTCTAAAGCATCATACACCTTCAGTTTTAGGGCTTCTATTTAAAGCCACCCACACAGACATTTCAGTACACAAAAGTTTCTGAGCTTCACTCCATTTCTCAATACATTTTCCCAGCCCTGGTTTTGTCTCTAACAAGACTCTGGAAGGGGATAAATTGAGCTTTGATAAACAAAGACTTTCCTCCCAAAAAGTATCCTATGTTTTCAGAATTTTTGATTTATTTGTTTCTCACTTTCTCTCCAATCTCCAAGAGGTTATATTTTGGTACCTTTGCTTCCAAATCTCTGAAGGAAGAAGGACTTTTCTTAGGAATTCTGAGGAAGGTCCAAATTCTTTAGGATGTGAGCAAAGGCAGGGCTGTCAGGACTCTTTGGTGAGAAAAGATTGATCGCTTCTCTCTGCCTCTGCCTCTCTCCCCCACACTCTTGGCTCTTTCTCTCACTTTGTGTAAAACTTTTTTTTGTTTGATGGTCTAGTAGTGGAAATATTCTTGAGCACATCTAATAAACTTATATTAGAAAAGAAATTCTTCAAATCAGCTTGATGATCTGCAGATATACACTGAGTCCCTCCAGGGAGATAGAGCAGAATATAAATACATTATTATTATTATTATTATTATTATTATTATTATTATTATTATTATTATTATTTTATTTTACTGACACAAAAACACCGTATAACACAGCCAATGAGTTATGTATGCTGGATATCACAAAATCACAAGTCAAACACTTCCCAAGYGTTTAGGACTGTGTCATTTATTATTATTATTATTAGCCATCCCCTGCCATGCGTTGCTGTGGCCTAGTATGTGTATATGTGTTTTGTGTGTGTATATGTGTGTGTATATATTTGTGAATATGTGTGTTTGCACATATATGCATTGTAATGTGTTTTTTTGGCTTTTTTAGTCTCTTCTGTGTTTTTCAGTGTTTTATGAGTGATGGCACTCGTTAGCCTGATAGGTGTATTGTGTCCAAATTTGGTGTAAATTCGTCCAGTGGTTTTTGAGTTATGCGAATCCCACAAATGAACATTACACTTTAATTTATAGATTATTATTACTATTATTATTATTATGGACACAAAAGCACAGTATGTCACAGCAAATGAGATCTATATGCTGGATTTTGTATCACAAAATCACAAGTCGAGAATGATGCATGCAGATCCAAGTAAGGTGGCCTTTTGCAGTTATTAAGTTGTTGTTGTTATTATTATTATTATTATTATTATTATTATTATTATTATTATTGGGGGTGTGTGCAGAAATATTACCACCTCCAAGGAAAAGCTGGTCTTTAATCAGTCAAAAACTAGACTTGTTTGTTTTTCAAATGTTTTGACATTCTAGCTGATCAGAAGGCCTAGCAATTGGACTACTAATAAAAACTTTTTGAAGTAGCTTTTTAAAAGAACCTGCAGATCTAATATCTTTAAGAGGGCTGCTTTCTCTGCCTAGATTTTGGGTGGGGTTGGTTGTTAACTTAGTTTTCTGAATCTGCCTGGGAAACGTCCTCTTCCATCATCTCTGAACTCTGTCTCTTGTCCTTTGGGACAAGAGCTGGGTTTCCTTCTGTCCTACTTGTCCCCTCCTGGGAACTGGGGTTAAGATGGGCCTTTCTCTCCCCATGGAAGTGAAAAAGGCAGGCTTCAGCCAACCAGCACCATTCTGTCCCCCCTTTCTTGCACAACCTTTTCTTGGCATTTTCCTTAGGAGTCATCCTATATAAGAGGACAGAGATTCTCCAAAAGCTGCTTATCATATATTAATATATGATAAGCTTATCATATATTATATATTTATTATGATTATTATATATACATTATTATTATTATTATTATTATTATTATTATTATTATTATTATTATTATTATTATTATTATTTAAATGCATGAAAAACAAACCTGTTTTCAACCAAGCCGGCCCTCCTATTGGGCAAGCCAGGCCACGTGACCAGGAATTGGCTGCAATTTATCCCTGCTCGTCAGTTTAATAGAGCAAGGTCCCCATACGCTTGTATTATCTGCAATATAAGATATTTTTTTGCAAAGGGGGGCAGGGAGAGGGGGGAGGAGACGGCAAGTAACATTAATACTAAGGCGATATAAAATATTAGAAGGGCCTTCAAGATCAATCGTTGCTTCCCCACCCACCCACCCACCCGCATTTCTCTCTCTTCTCCCCCCCCCCCACCTCCCCTCCATTCCCCCTCCCTTTTGTACTGGGCCCCTTGGAAAAAGCCATGAATTTTGAATTTGAGAGGGAGATCGGCTTCATAAACAGCCAGCCATCGCTAGCGGAGTGTCTGACGTCCCTTCCCGCTGTCCTGGAGACATTTCAAACTTCATCAATCAAGGAGCCACCGACGTTAATTCCTCCTCCTTCGGAGCAAAGCCTCCTCGGTTTGGATCCTTCTTCTCTCAGCAGCAGCAGCAGCAACAGCAGCGGCGGCAGTAGCGGCCAACCCACGCCAAGGAGCCAAAAGAGACGGAGGCACGGGCATGGGCATGGGCAGGCCCCGAAAACGGCGGCGCCTCCGACGGTGCCCCCCGCCCCCGCCGCCCCCCTGGCCGGGGAATTCCCCTGGATGAAGGAGAAGAAGGGCGCCAAGAAAGCCAGCCCCGGCCCGGCCTCGGCTTCGCCCGCAGCCGCCGCCGCCTTCCCTGCCTCCCTGCCTGGATCAGCCGCCGCTTCCCCTCCAGGTCGGTATATAAGGCGGGAGGGGGGAACCATGGGGCGCCCTCGCCCCGGATCTGGCTATTCCAAACCTACGAATTCCTAGGAAAGCGGGCAAGGACCTTTCAGGGCTCAACGCAAAATAAACAATCGGGGAAAAGACAATTCACTTCCCTTTATTTCCCTTCCCTTCATTTCCTTCCTTCCTTCTTTTCTCCTTCCCTTTCTTTTCCCTCCCTCCTACCACCTGCATTCCTGCTTTCTCTTCCTTCTCTTCCTCTTTCTTCCTCTCCTCCTAACTCCTTTCACCTCTTCCTCCTTCTTTCTTTCCTCCTATCTCTTTCTTTCTTCCCTCCCCTCCCTTCTCTATAATCTCTTCTTCCTTCTTGCTTTCCTCCTATCCCCTTCCTTCTTTTCTTTCTTTCTTTCTTTCTTTCTTTCTTTCTTTCTTTCTTTCTTTCTTTCTTTCTTCCCACTCCCCTTCATTCCTTCTTTCCCTTCCTTCTCTTTCTCTCCCATTCCCCTTTTTTCGTTTTTCCTAACCCTCTTCCATTCCTTAATTATATTTTTTCTATTCTTTATTTCTATAACCATCTCCTATATCTACTAATTTTGCTCCTTACTACTTACAATTATGTTCATTCTATTCATACTTATTTATTTATTCCTACCATCACTACATTATTCTTTCTTTCTTTCACCTTACCCTACCTTCTATGTCAACTTCTTTATTTTATAAGAACAAATTTCTTTATTCACTTATCTACTTTCTCTATCGTCTCGTCTTCCTCCCACTTCTTCCTTTCCCCTTCCCTTCCTTCTTTCTCTCTCTTCTTCTTTCTTTCCTCCCACTTTTCTCCTCTTTCTCTCTTCCTCCTTTTTCTTTCCTCCTCTCCCCTTCCTCCTTCCCTCCTTCCCTCCCTCCCTTCTCTTCTCTTCTTTCTTTCCTCCTCCTCTTTCTTTCTTGTTCTCTCTCTCTTCCTTCCTTCCTTCCTTCCTTCCTTCCTTCCTTCCTTCCTTCCTTTTCCTTCTACCTGCTTTCCTTTCTTCTCTTCCTCTTTCTTCTTTCTTTCTTTCTTTCTTTCTTTCTTTCTTTCTTTCTTTCTTTCCCTCAGCCCACTCCCCTCCTTTCCACCCTTCCTTTTCACCATCCTTAATCAGGAGTGAGAGAAAATCACCAGTGCTCCTATAATTTCGGATAAAGAGTGGCCCTCCTCAAATCTTGGTATTTCAAACCTATTCGAAGCTGGGAAAGGTTGCTCCAAGCCAAAGAAACAACTGGGGAAAAGACAGGTTGGGATGTTACTCCAATCTTCTCCTCGCTCCCTCCTCCTTACTCTTTTCTTTTCCTTCCTGTCTTCTTCCCTTCCTTTGAGCCATCCTTAATCAGGATAAAAAAATACATCTTGATCGATGGCATTCACTTCTGGCCCTATGGTATGAAGTACATATACCACCTCTGCTTGTAGTTGTAGTTGGGCGCTTGGGTTATTTAATAAGCTGGAGGAACAGTAGATACTTCGGAGATAATGCTCTTTTCTCTTTAAGAAGGGAATGTGGTGTATCTGGAATATTCTTTTATTTCAGGACTCTATGTGTATGTAAGGATGGCGGGGGAGAACAACCACTCGCCACTATCTCAAAAGAACAAGTGCCTTCGACGCCCTGTCTCAGCCTCCTTCCTTCTAGGCTCGCCAGTTTGGTGGATAAAAGAATAGCATATATTTCCTTCCTTTCCTTGCCCCTTTCTCCTCCATCCGTGGACAGTTCTTGAAAGAACTGGGATTCTTAATGAGTCTAAAACCACAAGGAGAAGAAGGAAACTGAGAGGAGAGGAAAGGAAAGAGGGGGATTCTTTTGAGGATCTCTTCCCAACTTTCCTTGTTCGTGCCATAGCTGGAGAGACAGGCTTTCCTCTCTGTCTTCCTCTCATCTCCATTTCCTGTCCGGTTCTCTTCCTTCACCCCTGTGCTATGGGGCAGGCTCTTTAGGAAACCAAGAGGGGGGAGCCGAATAGAGGAGATTAAGGGTGGAGGATGGGGGGGGGGGGTCACACAAGCCTAACTAGCATCCTCTCCTGAAATCCAGGAGATTGGTGAGTTCTTCATTTTCCTTTAGTGGTTGAAGCGATTTGGAGACTCCCCCATCCAGCCGTGGAGACCCCACACTGTCTCAACCTCAAAGAAAAGCAAAGGCAAACCCTCTCTGGACAAATCTTTCCAAGCAAACCCACTGGGAGAGCTTTCATAAGTCGGAAACAGCTCTAACAAGATGAGGACCCTGCTTCTTAGACTGAATCGAGACAGTCTATTTTCAAATATCTGGGTTTGGAGATAACTCTTACTTTGAGAAGGCCTCTTAAGACTGGATCTATACTGCCCTATATCCCAGGATCTGATTCCAGATTATCTTCTTATCCCAGATTATTTATCAGTGTAGACTCATATAATCCAGTTCAAAATAGATAATTTGGGATCAGATCCTGGGATACAGGTCCACTCTTAAAAGGCCTTCTCAAAGCAAAAGTTCTCTCCAAACCTAGATATTTGAAACTAGCCTTGTGATGTCCTCTTATTTGTTGGCATTGCAGAAAATTATCCTGCATGTAAGATCTCCAATAAGTGTGTGTTGTCCCCACAAAGCTTGAGATACACCAAAGAGACACAAAATCTCTTCAAGTTTCCGAATAATTCTAAAAGATGTTCAATGTGTTGTCGAAGGAAGGCTTTCATGGCCTGAATCACTAGGGTGTTGTGTGGTTTCCGGGCTGTATGGCAGTCTTGTAGCAGCATTTTCTCCTGACCTTTCGTTGCAAATGCATACAGCCCGGAAACCATACAACATCCCAATTCTAAGGGCCCTTCCATACAGCCATATAACCCAGAATATCAAGGCAAAAAGTCCCACAATATCTGCTTTGAACTGGGTTATCTGAGGGACCTTCCACACAGCTTTATATCCCAGAATATTAAGGTAGGAAATCTCACAATATCTGCTTTGAACTGGGTTATCTGAGAGCTCTTCCACACAGCTTTATATCCCAGAATATTAGGAAATCTCACAATATCTACTTTGAACTGGGTTATCTGAGAGCCCTTCCAAACAGCTTTATATCCCAGAATATTAAGGCAGAAAATCTCACAATATCTGCTTTGAACTGGGTTATCTGAGGACTCTTCCACACAGCCCTATATCCCAGAATATCAAGGCGGGAAATCTCACAATATCTGCTTTGAACTGGGTTATCTGAGTCCACACTGCCATATATTCCAGTTCAAAGCAGCTAATGTAGGATTTTATTCAGCTGTGTGGAAGGGCCTTTTGAGAGGTCCTCCCTAGATAAACAGAGGACGGGGAGGAGGGACAAGCAGGGGTTTTTTCGGAATGTGTTTCAGGATTGTTGTGTTTCTTCTTGTTCCCCCTCAAGACGGCCAGGGTTTCCTTGACCCCAGCAACAGCAGCGGACCCAACGGCTCCCGACGTCTGAGGACGGCTTACACCAACACGCAGCTCTTGGAGCTGGAGAAGGAGTTCCACTTCAACAAATACCTCTGCCGGCCCCGTCGGGTGGAAATCGCGGCCTTGCTGGACCTGACGGAGAGGCAAGTGAAGGTCTGGTTCCAGAACCGTCGCATGAAGCACAAGCGGCAAACGCAGCACAAAGAAATCCTCGAAGGAGAGGGAGAAGAGGAGGAGGAGGAGGAAGAAGAAGAAGAGGAGGAGGAGGAAGAGGAGGAGGAGGGGGGCAGCTCGCCATTTGGGGAGCTCCCTTGTCCTCCTTACCCAGGCAACACGGAGCCGTCAGGGCCCCCCGCTGGTTACCTGACACCCACCAAAGAGGGGGTCGCCGAGGAGGTGCCAAACGGGACAGCTGGCCTTCGCTCTTCCTCCTCTTCCTCTTCCTCCCCGGACAATGCCTTCCTGGGAAGCCCCAAGCCGCCTTTGTTGCCTCCAGACCTCTTCGCGGTGGAGCCCCAAACACCCGGGGGTCTTTCTCCCACCCTCCAAGGCTTCCTAGACAGCCCTGTCAGCTTCTCCGTGGAAGACCTGGACTTTTTCACCAGTACTCTCTGCACCCTCGATTTGCCGCAGTTGGACTTCCAGTAAATAGAGCCACTCTCTTCCTTGTGTTGTCGAAGACTGGGTTGCTGAGAGTTTTCCGGGCTGTATGGTCATGTTCCAGAAGCATTCTCTCCTGACCTTTCGCCCACATCTATGGGAGGCATCCCCAGAGGTTGTGAGGTATATTGGAAACTATGCAACTATCTGTGGAAGGTCAAGGGTGGGAGAAAAAAACTCTTGTCTGTTGAAGAAAAGTGCAATTAAGCATCGCAAAGGCTTGCAGCTTCAAGGCCTGGCTGATTCCTGCCTGGGGGGAGCCTTTGTTGGGAGGTGTTAGCTGACCCTTATTGTTTCATGTCTGGAATTCCCCTGTTTTCAGATATATAAGTCTCCCTTGCTTAGTTTCCAATATACCTCACAACCAGTGTTGTGCTTCACCATAAATGTGGGCGAAACATCAGGAGAGAATGCTTCTGGAATTCCCCTGTTTTCAGATATATAAACCTCCCTTGCTTAGTTTCCAATATACCTCACAACCTCTGAAGATGCCTGCTATAGATGTGGGCGAAACATCAGGAGAGAATGCTTCTGGAACATGGCTATACAGCCCGGAAAACTCACAGCAACCCAACCCTCTTCCTCTTCCTTCCTGATCTGCCTTGGGTTTCTAGGGGCCCCTGTGAATGAGATAGACACACTCACACACACACAAAAGCACACACATCCACTCCCCCTCAAACCATTTGAGTCCTGAATGGCTCCTCATCCTCCTCTAACCATTATCCTTTCACTTTCCCGACTCATTCCATACGGAAAGAAACATACATGTGTTTGTGTTTAATGGAACCAGTCCTTGAAAAGGGCCATGAGAGAAGTTTTCCACAGGATGGTAAACACATCCGGGCTTCCCTTGGGAAACGTCCTTGCAGACGGCCAATTCGCTCACATCAGAAGCGAGCTGCAGTATATTCTCAATTCACTTCTGACATGATTTAAAAAGTCATTGAAAAATATTTTCCTCACATTTTCATATTTGTGCTCAAATATAGGCACTTCTATCTCCGTTGACTTTGCATCCCACAACAATGGAAATCAGGGGATATTTTCCACATTTGGAAGAGAAACCAACTGGACTTCTAAATCTCTTCGCCACTCACTCAAATGATTCCCATTTCGACTTTCCCCTCATCCATTCTCATTGACCCAGGTTAGAAAATTTCCAGGCAAACAAAAAAAAAATCATTTTTGTAAAAAAAGTGAATTTCTCAGGAAGCTTAACAAGAAGTCTAGATTTTGTTTTTTCAAAATTAAAAAACGAAATAGAAGAAGGAAGAATGACCAACGCCTCCTTCCTTTAATGTTTTAGACTGAGGTAGATTTATTTATTTAAATGCTTTCATAGTCCAAATGCAAATTATTTATTGTACATTATTTTCCTAGATGAAATAAATGGCTTTATAGTCTGAAAAGGCTCCAGCCCCGTTTTGTGCTCATCTTTGTGTTCAGAGCCGGATTCAGTTGTGTGTTCCCTTCGAAACGGATTGAGGGCTTTCCACCTACGGACATGTTTGAAATTTATTTATTTATTTATTTCCTATATTTCCTACAAAGGCTTACAACACTGAAACATAGGATGAAATAATTATCTGAAAATATTTTATATTCTTACCATGAGAGAATTCTGCCCCATTGAAATCGATTAAAAAACAACAACACAAAATTTCGGGTTAGAATTTAAAAAAATATTTTCCCATTGGAAAAACAGAACCGGATCACCACCAAAACATCTAAATCAAGCAGATGCACATTCTGGGTATAGTTGAAAGAAAACGTAGAGGGAGAAAACGTTATTCCAGGAAGAAAAGATTTTGATTTGTTTTCACACAAAACTCTTTGTATTGTCGAAGGCTTTCTTGGCTGGAATCACTGGGTTATTGTAGGTTTTTTCGGGCTAAATGGCCATGTTCTAGAAGTATTCTCTCCTGACGTTTCGCCTGCATCTATGGCAAACATCATCAGAGGTTTTGAGGTGGCAAGAAACCCCTGAGGATGCTTGCCATAGATGTAGGCGAAATGTCAGGAGAGAATGCCTCTAGAACATGGCCATATAGCCCGAAAAAACCTACAACAACACAAAACTCTTTGTTTACAGTATTCATAACGGCTGGGAATAATAACAAGAAAGAACTGAGAGGCGAAGGAAGAAAGGAAGGAAAGAAAGGAAAGAAAGAAAGAAAGAAATTTATTTCCAAAACGCATTTATTTATTGTTAGGAAAATACCCTACAAACTTCAATATTTATTTCTGTTTCCAGAGGTTAAAGGAGGCAGTTTCACAGGGAAACAAAAGTCAAATAATCCCAGATTTCAACCACCTGGGGAAAAAAAAAACCAAGGTTCTAAATTAAGGCAATCTGAAGAAGGAAAATAGGAGAAGTAAGGCGTCATTTCTCTTACAGACGACAATCTTCAGCCCTTTGTTTCAGATAGAAAACAAATGGCCCACATAATAGAAAGAAGATTTGTTCTTTGTGTTTTCATGGCCGGATCACTGTGAGTTTTTCCAGGCTGTATGTTCCAGAAGCATTCTCTCCTGACGTTTCGCCCACATCTATGACAGGCATCCTCAGAGTTTGTGAGGTCTGTTGGAAACGAGGCAAGTGGGGTTTATATATCTGTGGAATGTCCAGGGTAGGAGAAAGAACTCTTGTCTGTTGGAGGCAAGATCTGTTCGTTTCCTTCTCTCTCTCTTCTCTGTCTTTCAAGACTCAAAGGATGGAGTGGGGGGGGGGGGGGGACGGGACAGAATGAGAAAATCCTAGTATTGTGAATACTACTTCACCCAGCACTTCTCACCTTGAGAGACCTTCCATTCAAAGTCCTATATTTTTAATAAAATAAAAATAAAATCAGATTTTTTTTACTATGGTTTGAATTAGGAGGTGAGAAATAGAAAGCCAGGATCCGAATTGTTGTTCCCAGGAAGCGATCAGAGAAAGGAATGGGGGCGAGGTGGCAGCCCACAACATTCACACACTCAGAGCACACAAATAAATCATATCAGGCGTTTGCTAAGTCAGTAATGGTAGGATTTTGGGAGGGTTTTGATTTGCCATTGAGGGCCAAAACAAGAGGTTTTTTGGGGGGGGGGGGGGGAGAAGATTGTGTGTGGAAGGGGGGGGGGAAAGCTCAAAATGGCGCAGGGAGCTCAGCCTACCCAAGTCGGAGGAGGATGCGAGCCAGGCAGCCATTATAGCTGGGAGAAACTGTTCTATTATTCCTGGTGCGAGTGGGTGGGGGAGAAGAGAGAGAGAAAGGAGGCTGGTGGGATGCCTTGCCTATCATTCTGCAAAGGGAAAGGGTGGGGGGGGGGGAGTGTTGAAATCCCAGCTTCTCCCTCTGTTCAGATTCGATTCACCGAGAGCAGAGAGTTCTCCTGATGGACATGTTTTCTTTCCCTCCTTGAAAGAATCACATCCTACAAGGATGGAAGGAGCCCTGGCTGATTGGTTCAGGGGAGAATCCATCTTTATTGAAGGAGAAAACGGCGGTGTGTATGGTCCAAAAGACTCCACTTGCATATTGATGATCTCTCCCCCTCCCAATACACTACATTGTTAAACACGCTCCAGTCTTCCCTTCCTCCATTTCTCTCTCTCTCACACACATCAGAGAATTGTACTTTTTGGAAACCCAAAAAGGATAGGTCTTCAAAATGGGCATTTTTTACTTTCCCTCCTTCACATCCTAGAAGGGCAGATAAAACAACCCATATTTATGGAAGGAGAAACCGACAATAGTGCATGGTCCAAAGCACTTCACTTGCATATTGATATTTCCCTCTCATTGTTAGTCACACACAGCAGGGAATTTTGGAAATCCAGGATCAGATGGACACATTTTCTTTCCCTTCTTTAAATAATCCCATCCTAGAAGGGTGGAAGGAACTCAGGATGATGTGTTCATGGAATAAGAGGAAAATGACAAGGTGTGCAGTCCATAACACTCCTCCCGCATATTGATATTTTCTCCCCATATACTACTACACTGTTACAAACACTCCAGCCCCCCTTTTCCCTCTCTCTCACACACAACAGGAAATGTTATTTTGGGAAACCCACAAACCATGGTGAAGGAAAGCATGTAAACAAACAGAAATCTGTGTTCATCTCTCCTCCCCCCTCTCCAGAACTGGAATCTATTATGTGGGTGCCTAGGTAGGAAATCTTGGAGGCATCTATTCATCAATTTAGGCAATAATATTCTATATGTTTACCTGGTAGAATGGCCCATTGAAATCACTTTAGCTTATTTCTGACTAGACATGTATTGTGCTGCACATTGAATTTGGAATTGCATGGTGAATTATCTGGGTATCCCCACTGAAAACAATGGAAGATGACATCTGAGTGAATATGTATGTGATTAACGTGTAGTCAAAGGCTTTCATGTCCAGAATCACTGGTTTACCGTGAGTTTTCCAGGCTGTATGGCCTTGTTCCAGAGGCATTCTCTCCTGACACTTCACACACTTCTATGGCAGGTATCCCCAGAGGTTGTGAGGTCAGTTGGAAACTAGGCAAGTGAGATTCACCCAAGCAGGAAGCAGTCAGGCTTTGAAGCTGCAAGGCCATGAAATGCTAATCAAGATAGCCAATTGCAACTTTCCCACTTGCTTCAAGCAGACAAGACTTTTTTCTCCCACCCTGGACACTCAACAGATATATAAACCTCACTTGCCTAGTTTCCAACAGACTTCACAAACTCTGAGGATGCCTATCATATGTGTGGGCAAAACGTCAGGAGAGAATGCTTCTGGGACATAGCCATACAACCCAGAAAACTCACAGCAACCCATGTGTGTGATCAAACTGTGAAGCTCCAATGTGAATCCCATGGAACACAATTAGACTTACTTTGAGTAAAGCTGCACATTTCACCCACTCAATACCAGAAGTTGTACAAAACTACCATGTCATAGTCAGGATTTTGACCCATTGAACGAAACAGCCTATGAATTTCTGCAGCAAGATTTAACCCAAAAACCCTCCTAGTTTTGCTATAGCAAGCTGCTCCACTTCATATCTGGAGAAGTCTGCCACATCCTGTGTAAGGGATCTTGGAATATACTTTTCAAATCTTTATATAACTCATACGAACACACCATGCATCTTCTTTGTGGTGTGGTGATAAATTTTAAGATACAGGGAGTTCCTATTGCCATGATCTCAAAGACAGACAAAAATGGAATGTACCATGTTAATTTATATCAGCAAGACAATCATAGTAGTTTCCATCTCTGCCAGGAGCAGGTCTTTTGCAAATCTAATGAACTCTACTGGCTGGGAGATTTTGGAACAGTTGCGTCAAAGTTGCCCATTTACAAGCTTCCCAAAAAGCAACCATTATACTTAGTTCTTGTGGGTTTTTTCGGGCTATATGGCCATGTTCTAGAGGCATTTCTCCTGACGTTTCGCCTGCATCTATGGCAAGCATCCTCAGAGGTGAGGTCCATTATAGTTTGGAGGTGCCTTTCCTAGCTGTTTGTTGCATGTTCCCATGATAAATAGTACAATATTCGAAAGGGAGCAATGGTCTCCAAATAAGGATTGATACAGGCACTGAAAAGATACATTATGATGCAACTCCATCATATTTCCCATGCATTCAAAACAAAATAGCAGTCAGCACTTGACATTTGACATGCAGTGGACACTTAGCAAACAGATTACTACATACAATATTGTTTCCCATGCAGCCGGTTCCTATGAGTAAAAGTTCAAGAGTAAAATTTCTATTGAGCTCTATAGGATTTGATAAAAAGGTAAAGGTAGTCCCCTGACATTAAGTCCAGTCATGTCTGACTCTGGGGTGTGGTGCTCATCTCCATTTCTAAGCCGAAGAGCCAGTGTTGTCCATAGACACCTCCAAGGTCATGCGGCCGGCATGACTGCATGGAGCGCCGTTATAGTGAATCAAAATTCACATGCTGGCTTGGACATCTATCTATCTATCTATCTATCTATCTATCTATCTATCTATCTATCTCTCTCTCTCTCTCTCTCTCTCTCTCTCTATCTATCTATCTATCTATCTATCTATCTATCTATCTGTCTGTCTATCTATCTGTAAAGTGTTATGTTATCTATCTATTTTCATCTATTACTTTCCCCCATCCTAAACTGAAAGCCTACCTCATTGTTTATCCTTTTTGGGCTCCCCTCAATGACATGTTTTCTATTTCTACCTCATCCAGGATTTATCATTTGACCTCATCCATTCAGCATGCCCATTCTGTTTGATTTTATATTGTGTTAATTTGCTTTATTTATTTTATTTTGCTATTGTACGTATTTTATTCTGATGTAATTTTTGGTGTTTGCAGTCTGTATTTTATTTTGCTGTATTGTACCTTTGGGCTTGACCTCATGTTAGCCGCCCCGAGTCCCCTTTGGGGAGATGGTGGCGGG